AGAATAAAATAGAGTAAAATATATGATATGTGATAAAACACTGGCAGGTTCACCCATTTGCATAAGGACCTACAACAGTATTTAACATACTGCATGGATTGGAGGAGTCTACCCATTCAACACCTTTTCAACAAAGATGACAGTGAGCCAAGTTATTTACATCACGGGCATCATTAACTCGGCCTCAAAAACTAACTTACAACTTAATTGTGAGTGTAAAAATTGGGCCACAGGAGCATAACCTCCTACAACAATAACCGGAATGGAACAATTCAATATTCCGGACCGGAAACAAGTAAGCACTATACCTTGCGATTAATAACGAAAAGCGGCGATGTCCACTCGAAAATTCTAGTTAAAATCCTATGATCAATAATTATATGAGTAGGTATTATCGGTATTTGGCAGAAACACGCTGATGGTGACACCGAGTTGCACTGTTTGTTTACGTTTCCTTAAAGGCGCGGGAAATGCGCGGTGGGGGTGGGGATGAGGAGAGGTAGGGGACGCGGCACGGCAAAGGGGGAGAGCAATAATTACGACATACTCACCGACATATCGTGGTCACGGGATGTGATTCTTTCCTGGGGTAGGCAATCCCGCCTCGCTTGTCCAGGATGTGATCCTTTGGGGGCGCCTCTGTTTGTAGCTAAAACCGGCACGACCACAGACAGATTCATCGAAACCAACTGTGGACAAAGGACCCCACCCCCTCAAAAAAAATAATGAAAAAAAAATAGGGGGAGTGGGAGTACGCCCCTTAACCCGCAGTCGGCGGCGACTTCTATGATCGCGGGACCGACCAGCCACCTTCAACCACATGTGCTCATCAGAAAATACTCCCGGTTGTTGGACGTACAGGTGTCGGAAGGTGAGCTAGATTGAAACCCAGATTCAGAGGCCCTACCATAAGGGGTACGCGGGAATCGAACCCACAACCCCGAGTGAGTTAATAACAGTGACACCGACCCTGTCACCAGAGCTACCCAACCAACGGAGATTAGGAGCCGTGTTCCAGTTCTACTTGAACTTCAGGTCGGTTCTGAGACCCAACACAAACGCCAAACGGAAAGCGAAGAATCTTCCCGAGCCTGGAGTCGAACCGTCGACCTCCGACCCTCTGGGCGGGCGCTCTACCGACTGGTCATGGGCCATCGAATCCCGTTTGCGGAACGTTTATGGTCGTCGCAGCCAAAGGTCTGTCTTTTCCAGTGAAGGCCACGAGGCACCAATGATAACGCCCGCGACCCACTGGGCCGGCCGGCCCGCCAAGCAGCCGTGTGAAGTTGGTGGCCATCCTCAAGGCGCCCGCAAAGTGCGAGGGCAGGGGGGCGTTTGACGCTCAACGTCCCCTTGCGTTAACTTGGGGCCGTGGTTGTTCAAATGTCGCTCTCAGATCGTTTCTCCCGCTCCGATGACACCCCCTCCCTTTTTTGTTTCTTAATATATAGTTTTTTACCCTGATAGCTAGAGCTCTGGACTCTGAAATAAGGGGGAAGTTAGCATGACTAGAAACAATTAAATTCATCTGGTGCGGTACAGATGGCGTGCTCATTAAATTTGAATGATTTTTTTTTGTAAACTTAATGAGTGAGGCATGTTGTGGGCCCGTCAATTGTTCTATCCCGTTGTATAGACATTGCTTCGACTGTCCCATTGTCATCACGCTACTCGTGTGTGGTGCCGGACGCACGCCACACCGCGCCCGGGTGCTGCTGGGCCGGACGGGCCGGACGGCAGCCACCGCGGCCGCGGGGCCTCCACTGCCATGACGGGCGGGAACCTGCTCTGCTTCGTGCTCGTCATCACCAACGTCTGCTACAGGGCGGCCCTGGCCGCCTTCGCGGTGATTGTCGTCGTGGTCGAAACGGTGCATAAATGGTCGAAACCTTGTCCAAACGATATGGTTTCTACACATGCAATTTCTGACGGGGCGTTTAAAGTGAGCGCGGGCCCAAGTCCGCCCTTTTGTTTTGTGCCACATTTGTGAGGGCAGCAGCGTGGGCCAGTGGGGAATGGCGGGTTTCATCGAAACGATTTCGAAACGATGTTTGCATGGGAAATTTGTCGATTTTCGTTACACGACTGGAAGTTACGGTAGAAATGTCGTATCTGAAATCGAAAAATTTATGATATCTAATAACGTTTGCATTAATTTTATTTTAGTATCTTTTGATATCGTTTCGACATCGTGTCGATTTTGTTTCAGTGTTGCGCTTTAAAAAAAACAACAATGTTTTTTCTTTTTACTGGAAAGTACTATTCTATTGTTAAAGACGTGAACGCTGTCCCAGGGACCTTACTGGCTGAGAATACGGCAGTTTCAAAACTGTCCGAAGCAAGAGGTGGCCATGGAGAAGCCCCGGTGCGACATGCATCCCAGCTCAGTGTTCCGATACAACCACACCATTAAGAGCCCAGTCATAGATCTCAACATGACGCTGTCGAACCGAGTCTTCGACCGCGGGGCGTCAACAGTGAGTAGATAAGTTGTCACCAAACGTTTCAAAACATTTCCTAAAGAAATAGATCTTTTTAGTATTTCTTTTCGAAATTGTTCAATTTTTTAAATCAAATGTCTGCACTGGAAACGCAAGTGTGTGAACGCGCTCCTTTGTAGGTGTGTGAATATCCATTCGTACACTTAAAGGGGTAAAGGTGTGAATTTTTCGTAGAAAATTCACACCTTTCCTCGAAGTGTACGAATGGATATTCACACACCAACAAGTGAGCGACATTCACACACTTGCGTTTCCAGTGTACGCTTCAACAGAAAAATTTCAGAATGCACGGATTTTTTTACTGCTTGGTAATGCATTTGTCTCGTTCAGATGACTCTTGACGTATCCCGGTGGGACACGGTGTCCGGCTGGAGAACCCACTTTTTGGTGATGAGCCTTGGTGAGCTGTGCTTCATCTACGAGGACGTGGTGGCCGACATCGTCAAGTACCTCGCCGAGATCGCTGGAATACCCACAAAGTGTCCCATCGCCGACGTAAGGAATCCCCATGCGCCCGAACCACGTACTAAAAATATCCTCCTGCCTCCCC